CTGACCTTAAGGTTCGCAGCCCGATTCGTAACCACTACGCTAGGATAACCCCTATGTAATTCGTCTTCATTTCTATTGTTAAGGGAGTTTTAAAGGCCACCAAATTCCAAGTGACTTATCCTACTTCACTTTAATAGCAGCAACCAAAATTTCCTTACTTCTCCACATAATATCATGGAGCCATTGTGTGTGTGTGGTTTTTTTCATGCTACTGTGTCTAGTATAGGAGCTCTGGTAGCGTAGTGGTTACGAATCAGGCTGCAAGCCGCAAGGTCAGCAGTTCAAAACTACCAGCAGTTCCGGGGTAGAAAGATGAGGCGGTCTGCTCCCGTAAAGATTTACAGCCTTGGAAACCCTGTGTAGGGTTGCTATGAGTCGGAACCGACTCCACGGTACATAACAACAACAACAACTGTGTCTAGTATCTCTATTGAAAAAAATATATTTTGTTCTTTATCTTGAAATGTGAGAAAATAAAGAACTAGGAAATTGAAAGCACAATGATGATTTCCAAAAGTATCAATTTCTTAGTGCTATGAAGTTGTGAACAGGTTAGGTCACAAGGCAAAGGGATATTAAGGTTACAGATAAAATTAAAACTGGTAATCAGCTGATGTTGAGATGAGAAGATTATTCTTGATTATCTTAGTTGGCCAATATAATCAGTAGTGTTCTTATAGAAAGAGAGAGAAAGGCAGAAGAGAGTTGGCTGACACACTGTGAAAAAGACTCATGCTGCCATTATTGACTTTGAAGTCAGAAAACTCCAAAAAACAAACCCACTGCCAATGAGTTGGTTCCAACTCATGGGACCCTGTTGGCATTCAAAATACTGGTGGCATAGCTTCCAGCATCACAGCAACATGCAAACTACCACAGTGTTACAAATTGACAGATAAGTGATGGAGTAACTTTATATATGAGTTCTGAAACTAAATCTTTAGAACGCAGATCCTTTCATCTTCCTCCTTTGGAGATACTTTTGGTGTGAACTGCCAGCCTTGCAGTAGTGCTCATCCTATAGCTCTGCCAGACAGAGGGAGAGAAAACAAGGAATCTAAGTGGCCTCTAGAAGATGGGAAAACAGATTCTTCCCTAATAGAGCCTCCACAAGGGCTGCAGCCCTGGGAACACTGGGATTTTAGCCCAGTCAGATCCAATTCAGACTTCTTACATCCAGGATTGTAAGAAAATAAATTTGTGTTTTTAAGCCATTGTTTCTGTTGTTCTTAAGTGCCATCGAATCAGTTCTGACTAATAGCTGACCTTGTGGTTCAAATCGACTTTGAGGTCGAGTGCTTATCCTATGGTGTCACAACTGGACTCCAATAATTTTAAGCCATTAGTTTGGTGGCAATTTGGTACAGCAACAACAAGAAACTAATACACAGGTGAAAAGAAATAAGTGAAAAACTTCAAGAATAAGCAGCATAGCAGTCTTGGTCAAGTACAGAAAACAAATAAAACCTAGTATTTCGCCAATCTTTTATTATCTATAACTTCCTCATTTCAACCACAGATCCAGGTTTTCTTCTAGTGTCTCCACTGAGGATATCCTTCTCTGTATCTTGAGTTACAGATATGGACATTTCTTCCTGAATAACAGTCTACAGATATCTTGTTGTTGTTGGTAAGTGCCATTGAGTCAGTTCTGACTCATAGCGATGCTATGCACAACAGAACGAAACACTGGCAAGTCCTGGGCCAACCTCACAATTGTTTCCATGCGTGAGCCCATTGATGCTGCCATTTTTCCTCTGTATAGGGTTTTAAATCTTTGATGGAGCAGACAGTCTCATTTCTCTCCCACATTTGTTGTTGTTAAATGCTGTCGAGTCGGATCTGTATAGGGTTTCCAAGGAGCAGCTGGTGAGCTTGAACCACTGACCTTGCAGTTCAAACGACTTTGCAGTCTGACGCATTAGACCACAGTGCCACACCAGGATTCTCCAGTCTCCCACATAGATATCTTACAACATACTATATAAATTCCAACTCTCTGTTTTCTGTGTCTGAGGCTGTAAAATCTTTAAGGGAGTGGAAAGCCTTATCTTTCTCATGGGTAGCAGTCCTGTGCTTTTATTACAGCGGCAAAAGCTTTCTTTATTAATTTGTTGCTAGAATCTACCAACTGTTCTGTAGGAGAAAGAGAAAGCTTTCTGCTCCTGTAAAGATTGATAGTCTCAGTGCTGTAGGATAAGCACTGGATAGCTAACCTTACTCATGGTTGCTGATTCATGTCCACCAATTGATCCTTGGAAACCCTATACAGGGTTGCTATGAGTCAGAACAAACTCTGTAGCATTTAACAACAACAAATGAATAAACGAGCCCTTTTGGCCTGGTGTGGCTTTGTAGCATAAGCACTGGACTGCCAACTGAAAGGTTAGCCATTCAAACCCACCAGCTGCTCCTTTGGAAACCCTGTACAAGGTTGTTATGTGATGGAATCAAATCAATGACACTTAACAACAACAAATATAGGTTTGTTGTTGTTAAGTGTCATTGAATTGATACATACCTATACATATACAGTCATCATAAGGGGCAGCAACAATGGGCTAAAGTGTAACAACAATTTGTGAGGATGGCACAGGACCGGGAAATGTTTTGTTCTGCTGTGTGCAG